GGGGCTAAGTTACTCAGGGAACGAAACATAGGGTTTGAAATACCGTGACTTAAACAGGCACACTCTGTGCTTAAAGACAACGGCATCTGTGGGCAACAGACACGCTCTGTGGTGCAAAAGAACGCTATCTTTGTACAACCTATGAAGCTAAGCCGGTGCAAACTGCTGCTGTAGTTAAGCAGTAAGTTGGGGTACCATGTGCCTGCCAGAGAGTTAAGAAATCAAACCCTAAAGGGAGAGAAAGAAAGAAGAGGAAGGGGTGTATGAAACTGAGTAAGGGGAGGTGTAACCAGAGGCGGGACAGTTAGCACGTAGATTGTACACGTCGGAGAGGCTGTAAATCTTGGAGTCCCCAACCAATGGGGTAACAAGGGAGGGAACTTGAGGATGGGAAAGGAAATACAAATCAAAGTTCTGCCTTTGCTGTGTGTGCCTGCTTGCCAGGACACCCGTTTGTGCACAAACGTTAAATAAATGGCTGCTTCACTGCTGTGTCTGACCGAGGCCTGCCTGAACCTAGAGACTGCTTCTCACCCTTTGTCCTGGGTTCAGCAGTAGCAGTCATTTTTCTCCTTCTTGGTAGCTGGTGCAGTGCAGTGTTTTGACTTTCAGCTCGGGAACAGAGCTGATAGCGATGTTTTGGTTTGGCCAAGGACTTTGTGAGCCTCATGCTCTGCCAGGGAGGAGGGGAAGGCAGGAGGAAGCAGAGACAGGACACCTGACCCAAACTGACCAAAGAGGTATTCCATACCACAGCACGTCATGCCCAGGATGTAACTGGGAGTTAGCCGGAAGGGCTGAGAGACTGCAGGGTTAGAGGAGGTATCGGTCGGAGCTTGGTCGGGCTTGGGGAGCGAGTTATCGGTCAGCTGGTGCTGAGGTGTTGTATTCTCTTCCCTTGTTATTTCCTTTATCATTATTATCATTGGTGGTAGCAGTAGTGATCTGTGTTATACCTTAGTTACTAAACTGTTCTTATCTCAACCCGTGGGAGTTGCATTCTTTTTGATTCTCCTCTCCGTCCCTCCGGGAGCAGGGGGAGGGAAAGAAGGGGGGGGGGGGTGAGTGAACGAGTTACCTGACTGGGTTTAAACCACGACACCCTTCAACTTCTCAGACACCAAAACCCACGACCCATTCCCTCAGCAGGAGGCTCACCTGAGACTCCAACTTCTCGCCGCCTTCCTTTTTCTGGGATGCTGCTCTGGGAGGGGCACTTTCTCGCCTGACCTGCTGGAGGCTGCTGCTTCTCTTCTCCCTGCTCTTCACTGGCATCTTCCGCACTGCTTCTCTGGGCTTGTTTCTTCCCCTTTCTCTTCTTTACCCGTCTCTGCCAGGAATTCTCCTTCCAACTCAACACAGGCAAGCAGAAGGGGGAAAACAAAGCAGTTGTGTATTTTTTTAACTACAGAAATCCCATGCAAACGTTTCACAGAAGAGACAACCCCCTGCAAAAAAACGTGTTTACAAAAACCAGCACTCACAGCGATTGCAGCCGTTGGCGAGGGCCTGTGCTTGAGCTACGGCAGTAACTAAGAGTCACCTCAGTGCAGGACGCGACTCCGTGACGAAGCACGGAGCCTCCCGGACACCTGCACAGACAACACTTGGCCAGGAGCCTGCCCACAGAGCACCAGGACAACCTGGGAACCAGAGACTTCCCCAGAAACAAGGCCTGGAACATTTTCAGTTCATCCTCAAATAACCTCCTGTGACACCACACTCATTTTCAGCCGCACGCAGGGACCAGGAAGGTCATACATTATTTTGTACTGTAGGGTGCTGTACGCGTAGGCTGTGTACCGGGCCATCCACAGCTATCTCATACATTAAAAGCGCTAGGATTTAAAGGGCATTTGTAGAGCTTTAATGAGAGAAACTCCGTTTAGTTTTTAGATGGCATAAAATTACATGAACAAGCCCTAGATCAACTGCTCCCACATCTAAAGCCTTCAGCTCGATGACCAGGGGAAATCAGCAGCAGGGCAAATAAAGGTTCTGGCCCTTCTCAACACACTGAGACTTGAAATGGAAATGGTACAATGGGCTGCTGAAAACCACACTGAGAGCAACGCTTTGGCTTTATTCCGAGAGCAATGCTGACAACACACTGACGTTTTAGTTGTACCTAAACTGGGGGGAGTTCTTTGGAAGGGAAGGATCACTGCTCGGGTAGGGCTGGGTATCACTCAGCGGGTGCTGAGCAATTGTATTGGGCATCACTTGTGTTTATTGGCTTGGTTTTTTTTTTCCTTTTCCTCTTTTTTTTTTTCTCTCTTCTTGTTATTTCCCTTATCATCATTATCACTATCACCAGCACTAGTACATTGTGCTTCGGTTATTAAACTGTTCTTATCTCCACCCTCGGGTTTTTCATCCTTCCCTTCCTGCTCCCCATCCCGCTCCAGGAGCCAAAACCCGCCCCAGAGTCACCGACACCTCCGCACACCCCCCCCCGGGTGCCGGGGATCGGCTGCCCCAGCAGCACCTCCCCCCCCGGGGGGAAACAGCCCCCAGGGCCCCCCACAACAGCCCCGCTCCATCCCCAGGGTCGGAAAGGTGCGGGACCCCCACAGCTCCCAGCCCCCCATGCCCCGGCTTCGCAGCACCCCACACTCCCAGCCATCTCGCAGCCCCACTGCCCAGCGCTCGCACCCGCCCCCCGCATTCCCCCGCAGCGCCCGGCCCCACTGCCCAGAGCCTCGGGGGGCCGCAGACCCCCAGCCCCGCTCCCCGGGCTCTGCAGCGCCCCCCAGACCCGCGCCGCGCCCGCTCACCCTCACCTCCTCCCGCTCGGCCGCCGCCATTGCCGGCTGCAGCTCCGCCTCACGCCCTGGGCCCGCCTCCGACGCAGCCAATCAGCGCACGGCTCCCCCGCGCGGGGCACGCTGGGACCTGTAGTCCGGCCTCCGGCACATGCGCACGGGGCAGTGGGCGGGGAAGGGGGGAGGCAGCGGGACCCCCGTGAGGGGCGGGGCCTTTCCTCAAGGAGGAGCCGCCCCCCATGGGATCCCAGAGGCACCGGATGGGCTGGGGTGAAGGGACCTTAAAGCTCCTCCAGCTCCAAGCCCTGCCACGGGCAGGGACACCTTCCACATGGAAGGAGCAGCTTGCTCCGAGCCCCTGTGTCCAACCCGGCCTCCAACGCTGCCAGGGATGGGGCAGCCACAGCTCCTCTGGGCACCCTGCGCCAGCGCCTCAGCACCCTCACAGGGAAGAGCTTCCTGAGAGCTTGTGAAATACGAACTCACTCCTCTAAACGAGGTAACGAGGGTTTAGTGAGGGACAAAGTCAAGAAAGCAAAAGCAACAGCATGACCGCAGCCAGAGGCGCAAGGGATTAGCATTTGGTACAGGTTTATATACTTTCAGTATTACATTAGTTACATGCATATTCATAATTCCCGCATAGAGGAGGGGGATAATATAACTAGCTTCAAGAATTTATTATCACAAGTCTCCTCCTCTTGGCGCCTGTGCACTGCTCTGTGGTGATTGTGAGCAGGGAGCTTGAGGATGAAGTAAACAGTCTTCCTCTTGTGAGCAGGGGTCTTCAAGATGAAGTAAGCAGTCTTCCTCACGGTGTACTTTTCACCTCTGGCACAGCTGGACCCCCCAGCAACCACACAACCAGCTATATCTGTAATTATTCTGATAACTAGCAAAGATTTAAAACAGTGTGACCTTCCTGCAAAATTTGTTGCAGGATGGGCAGACAAGGAGTATCCCAAGCTAGCAGAGCCTTGGGAGGCTCTGTCTGAAACTAACTGATAAGGATGGTGTGAAATAACTCATTCATGTTTAGTGGGGCCACTAAAGCCTGTTATCTCACCACAGACTTACAACACAAACATTGCTCTTTAAAACTACTTTAGAAGACTAGCCTGAAACAATTAACTCATGTTTAGTGGGGCCACTACATCCCACGGACTTACAACATAAACACTGTTCTCTTTCTACAGCCTAAGTTAAGCTAAACAGTACTTTAACCCTATGTTTTCCAGGCACTAGCTTTCCTTATACCAAGCTTCACCCCCCACTTCTCTTACCTTTACAAATTCTTTTGCTATGTGACTCCATTTAGATCAAGAGATCTGAACCTTTTTAACTTGTTGTCTGGTCTGGTATCTTTAGCGTGTTTTGTTTCTGTTATTGTAAACTCGTACAGTTATATCCTGCACGTGAGCACACCTATGATTTGAGAAAGCCAATACATTTATGTGTTCATCACAATCTCACCTCAATCCACCTCTGTGGAAAGGAAAAAGGGGATAAAATAAGCAGTAAATTGCAGCCTCCTTGTGACTTCCCAAAGCCTCCGGTTTCAGTTCTAAAGCCTCGTTCGCAGGGTCCCAAGGCTCAGGTTCAGTTTCCAAAGGCTCGGCCGCGGGGATGCTGCTGCCGGGCGGGGGGCGCACGAGCCCGGCCGCGGGGCTGGGCAGGGCCCGCTCCGCCGTTCCCCGGGCTCCCGCGGCCGCGAGACCCCCCCCGCCGGCCGCTCCGCCCGGTGGCAGCGGGCGCCCGAGCCGCGCGTGGACAGAGCCGTTGACAGCGAGGCTGCGGCGGCGGCGGCAGCAGCGGCTTTTGAGCGGCTTCTGAGCGGCTTTTGAGCGGCAGCGACTTCGGCAGCGGCTTCTGAGCGGCAGCGGCTTGGGCAGGAGCAGCAGCAGGGGCAGCAGCACCAGGTGAGGCGGCGGCGGCAGCTCTCGGCGGTCCGGAGCCCGCCCTCCGCCGCTCCCCGCGATGGTGCCTCCCCCGTCCCCCCAGCGTCCCCCCGCAGGGGCTCGCGGCACCGCTCCCCTCTCCCGGTACTGGCAGTGGCGGCGCTGGGCGAGCCGCCGCCGCTGGGTCTGGGTCTGGCGAGGCAGCGCCGGCCCCTGGCGCTCCCCGGCCCGCCCCCAGGCCCCGCCCCGCCTGGGGCCGGCCGGGGGCCGCCACCATCCACAGGTGCCCGGCGGAGCGCGGACCGGCGGCGGAGCGCGGACCGGCGGCGGAGCGCCCGCTCCCTCCCCGCCCCGCAGCCTCCCGGCAGCCGCGACCCCCGAGACCCCGGAGCGCGGTGCTGCTGCGGGGGTGCCGTCACCGGCAGCGCGGTCGGGCAAGGTGCCCGTGCTCCTCCTGACCCGCATTGACCCGTCGGCCTATCTGCGCTCCGGGACCGGCGGGGAGCGGCGCGCCGCGGAGCCTCGGCCGGGAAAGGCCGGGAATGATGCGGCTCCGCTCGGCCCGGAGCGCCCGGTGGGGGCCGGCGGGGACCCCGCGCGCAGCGACAGCGGCCGCGTCTGTCGCACGGGGCACGACAAGGAGAGCTTCGAGCGGCTTTACCGCGTGGGACCGCTGCTGGGGAGAGGCGGCTTCGCGTCCGTGTACTCGGGGCTCCGCCTGTGTGACAACAGCCCGGTAAGGGCGGGCCCGGCGGCGGGCCGGGGAGGCGGCGGGGCTCAGCTCAGCTCGGCTCAGCTCAGCTCAGCCCAGCGCTGCCCTTGGCTCGCAGGTGGCGATCAAACAAGTGGCTCGGGAGCGCATCTCCTCGTGGGGCGAGCGGGTGAGTGCGCGGGGCCACCGGGACAGTGCGGGGCAGAGCGGGTGGGGGTGAGCCGGTGGGGCCGGCCGGGGGGAAAGTGGGACAGCGAGAGGGGAGTGGGTGTGGAGTCACCAGGGGACACGGGCCGGGTAGGGGTGCACCAGAGCATCCCTGGGGATTGCGGGGGGCACCTGCAGGAGGGCATCAGAGCATCCCAGGCAGGGAGGCACAGGAGCCCCGGGCCAGCATCGGCCCTGCTGACAGTGCCGTGGTCCCCCTGCAGCCCAGCGGCACTCGCATTCCCTTGGAGATAGCCATGTTGAGGAAGGTGCGCTCCGGCTGCAGTGCCATCATCCAGCTCCTCCATTGGTTTGAGCTGCCCCACTCCTTTGTGCTGGTTCTGGAGCGTCCGGAGCCATCGCAGGACCTCTCCGACTTCATCAAAAAATGGAGGTTCCTGCCCGAGAATCTGGCGCGGGGCATTTTCCTCCAGGTGCTGGTGGCTGTGCGGCACTGCCACAGCCGCGGTGTCCTGCACAGGGATATCAAGCCCAAGAACATCATCATCAACTTGGCCACCAGAGAGGTCAAGCTAATTGACTTTGGTTGCAGCACCCTCCTCAGGGACACGGTCTACACCAAATTTAGCGGTGAGCCCACAGCCCAGGGTGCTTCCCGTACCGAGCAGTTTGTGAACAAGAGTCACGTGCTGATGACGAGGTGGCGGGTCACACTGAGTGTGCGTCCCCACGTCCGTGGCGCCACCGGTGCAGCCCCTGCATCCCTGGGGATCCGCGGGCGAGAATCCAGGAGCAGGCGGCATCTGCCTAATGAGGTGCGCCCGTATCCTGTTGTAGGAACACCTTTGTACTACCCGCCGGAGTGGTTCCGCTGGCACTGCTACCACGGCCGTCCGGCGGCGATCTGGTCCCTGGGCGTGCTGCTGTATGAGATGGTGTGCGGGGTCCTCCCCTTCCGGTGCTGCGAGGACATCGTCAGCGGGCAGCTCTTCTTCCAGCGCCGGATCTCTGTCGGTAGGTACCTGGCTTCGCAGCAGCAGGGGAAGGTCTGGGTTTAGGGGTGGCAGCTGATCTCCCTTGGTCAGCTGGAGGAGGTGGCCCATGTCCTGCCATCCTGCTCTCCTCCAAACCGAGCCATGGAGCAGGAGGTCTGGGTGCAGCTCTGAGCGCACCCAGGCCTGGGCGCTGCGGACGGTGGCACAAGGTAGGCAGGAGCCTCCTGCAACTGAGCAGTTGGATTCTGGATTCTCCCCAGAATGCCAGCACCTCATCAGGTGGTGCTTGTCCATGAGAGCTCGCGACAGGCCATCCCTGGACGATGTGTTCAACCACCCTTGGCTGCAAACATCCACTGCCCCAGGAGACAGCCGCCCTCCACCCTCACAGCCTGAGCCAGCAGCTGGGCAAGTAAGCTGGGGGTGCCTCTTGGGGGGAGCGTGGGGTTTGGGGGTTTTGGCAGGTTGGGTTTTGCGGAGAGCGGGTGGTTTTTTTGGGGTTTGGGGGATTTGGGAGTTTGGTGAGGTTGGGTGTTTTGGGGGGACTTTTGCAGTTATTGGGGGGCTTGTGGGGATTGGTTTCTGGGTTCTTTGGAGAGCAATAGGTGTCAGAGGGACACCTCATAAGAGTTATATCTCCTCCTTGTAGCTGGGGCAGTGGTGAGGTTGGGCTTTAGTCTGAGGATAACGCTGGTAACACACCGATTGTATAGTGGTTTCTGATTAGCACTTACCCCGAGCAAGGCTGATTCAGTCTCTCATGCTCTGCAGTGAGGAGAGACAAGATCTGACAGCAAAGCAACAGACAAAGCGGCTACTCCAACACCCGCCACGAGCACTGCAGCTACTCCAGCACCAGCCACAACCACTACGGTGACACCAACAATGGACACAGGCACCGTGGCTACTCCAATGGCAAGGACTGTCACTACAGCTACAACTCCAGCAACATGCACTGCTGCTATTCCAACCAGGGCAAAAAAAGCAGTGTGGCTACTCCAGACTCAGTGACAAGCAGTGAGGCTTCTCAAAACCAAGCCACAAGCACTGCAGGTACTACAAATACAGCGACAGACACATCAGCCACTCAAACGCCGAGGACAGGCACTGTGGCAGGTGGGACCCAATTCAACATGCCCTGCAGTTAATCCAGCCCCAGGCACAAGGACTGCAGTTACTCCACCACCAGTTTTAAGCTCTGCAGCTACTCTATCTCTGGGAAGGAGCAATGGCGCTACTGTAAGGCCTGCTATGTATACAGTGGCTACGACAACCCCAGCCACAAACACTGCAGCTACTCCAGTGCAAGCCACAACCACTGCAGCCTCTCCAACACCAGTGACACACACTGCTGCTCCTGCAGCCCCATCAACAAGCAGTGAGGCTTCTCCAGCCCAAGCCCTAAGAACTGTGCCTACTGCAACCATGGCAGCAGGCCCGTGGGCTACTCCAATGCCATAGACAGATGCTGTGGCTGCTACAGCTCCAGTGATGGGCACTGCAGGTATTCCAACCACATCAACAAGCAGTGAGGCTTCTCCAGTGTGAGCCACAAGCACTGCGGCTTCTCACTGCCATCCACAAGCCCTGCGGCTACTGCAACCCCAGTGACTGGGACAGTGGCTACTACATGGCAACAATAGGCATAAACACTGCAGCTATTCCAGCCACTGCAACAAGAACAGCAGCTACTGCAGTGCCAGCCAGAAGAATGGGGCTACTCCAATGCCTGAGACAGACACTGCCGCTACTGCAACCTCATTGACGAGCAGTGAGGCTTCTCCAAACCAAGCCTCATGCTCTGCGGGTACTCAAAGTACTGTGACAGACACATCAGCCACTCGAATGCAAAGGACAGGCACTGTGGCTACTCCAGCCCCATCAACAAGCACTGTGACTAATCCAGCCCCAGGCACAAGCACTGCAGTTGCTCCACCACCAGTTTCCAGGTATGCAGCTATTCCAACTCTAGGAGGGAGCACTGCCGCTACTCTTAAGGCCTGCAACGTTTGCAGTGGCTAGATCAACCCCAGGCACAAACACTGTGGCTACTGCAAATCCTACCAGAAGCACTACAGCTACTCCCGTGCCAGCCACAATCACTGCAGCCTCTCCAACACCAGTGACCCATCAACAAGCAGTGAGGGTTCTCCAGTGTGAGCCACAAGCACTGCGGCTTCTCACTGCCATCCACAAGCCCTGCGGCTACTGCAGCCCCAGTGACTGGGACAGATGCTACTACATGGCAATGATAGGCATAAACACTGCAGCTATTCCAGCCACTGCAACAAGCACAGCAGCTACTGCAGTGCCAGCCACAGCAACGGGGCTACTCCAATGCCTGAGACAGACACTGCCGCTACTGCAACCTCATTGATGAGCAGTGAGGATTCTCCAAACCAAGCCTCATGCTCTGTGGGCACTCAAAGTACCGTGACAGACACATCAGCCACTCGAATGCAAAGGACAGGACCTGTGGCTACTCCAGCCCCATCAAGAAGCACTTTGGACAATCCAGCCCCAGGCACAAGTACTTCAGCTGCTCCACCAGCAGTTGTCAGGTCTGCAGCTATTCCAACTCTAGGAAGGAGCAATGGGGCTACTCTAAGTCCTACAACATAGGCAGTGCCTAGATCAACCCCACCCAGAAGCACTGTGGCTTCTCCAACGCCACTGACAAAGACTGCTGCTCCTCCAATGCCATCAACAAGCAGTGAGGCTTCTCCAACCCAAGCCCTAAGAACTGTGCCTACTGCAACCATGGCAGCAGGCCCATGGGTTACTCCAATGCCAAGGACAGGTGCTGTGCCTGCTACAGCTCCAAAGACAGGCACTGCAGGTATTCCAGCCACATCAACAGTGAGGCTTCTCCAGTACGAGCCACAAGCACTGCAGCTTCTCATTGCCAGCCAGAAGCCCTGCGGCTACTGCAACCCCAGTGACTGGGACAGTGGCTACTACATGGCAGCCATAGACATAAACACTGCAGCTATTCCAGCCACTGCAACAAGCACAGCAGCTGCTGCACTGCCAGCCACAGCAACGGGGCTACTCCAATGCCTGAGACAGACACTGCCGCTACTGCAACCTCATTGACGAGCAGTGAGGCTTCTCCAAACCAAGCCACATGCACTGCGGGTACTCAAAGTACCGTGACTGACACAACACATCAGCCACTCGAATCAAAGGACAGGCACTGTGGCTACTCCAGCCCCATGAAGAAGCACTTTGGACAATCCAACCCCAGGCACAAGCACTGCAGTTGCTCCACCACCAGTTTCCAGGTATGCAGCTATTCCAACTCTAGGAGGGAGCACTGCCGCTACTCTTAAGGCCTGCAACGTTTGCAGTGGCTAGATCAACCCCAGGCACAAACACTGTGGCTACTGCAAATCCTACCAGAAGCACTACAGCTACTCCAGTGCCAGCCACAACCACTGCAGCCTCTCCAACACCAGTGACCCATCAACAAGCAGTGAGGCTTCTCCAACCCAAGCCCTAAGAACTGTGCCTACTGCAACCATGGCAGCAGGCACATGGGCTACTCCAATGCCAAAGACAGATGCTGTGGCTCCTACAACTCCAGTGATGGGCACTGCAGGTATTGCAACCACATCAACAAGCAGCGAGGCTTCTCCAGTGCGAGCCACAAGCACTGCAGCTTCTCATTGCCATCCACAAGCCCTGCGGCTACTGCAACCCCAGTGAGTGGGACAGTGGCTACTACATGGCAACGATAGGCATAAACACTGCAGCTATTCCAGCCACTGCAACAAGAACAGCAGCTACTGCAGTGCCAGCCAGAACAATGGGGCTACTCCAATGCCTGAGACAGACACTGCCGCTACTGCAACCACATTGACAAGCAGTGAGGCTTCTCCAAACCAAGCCTCATGCTCTGCGGGTACTCAAAGTACCGTGACAGACACATCAGCCACTCGAATGCAAAGGACAGGCACTGTAGCTACTCCAGCCCCATCAACAAGCACTGTGACTAATCCAGCCCCAGGCACAAGCACTGCAGTTGCTCCACCACCAGTTTTAAGCTCTGCAGCTATTCCAACTCTAGGAAGATGCAATGGGGCTACTCTAAGGCCTGCAACATAGGCAGTGCCTAGATCAACCCTACCCAGAAGCACTGTGCCTTCTCCAACGCCACTGACAAACACTGCTGCTCCTCCAACGCCATCGACAAGCAGTGAGGCTTCTCCAACCCAAGCCCTAAGAACTGTGCCTACTGCAACCATGGCAGCAGGCCCATGGGTTACTCCAATGCCAAGGACAGGTGCTGCGGCTGCTACAACTCCAAAGACAGGCACTGCAGGTATTCCAACCACATCAACAAGCAGTGAGGCTTTTCCAGTGCGAGCCACAAGCACTGCGGCTTCTCACTGCCAGGCACAAGACCTACATCTTCTCATTGCCAGCCACAAGCCCTGCAGCTACTGCAATCCCTGCGACTGGGACTGTGGCTACTACATGGCAACAATAGGCATAAACACTGCAGCTATTCCAACCACTGCAACAAGAACAGCAGCTGCTGCAGTGCCAGCCACAGCAACGGGGCTACTCTAATGCCTGAGGCAGACACTGCCGCTACTGCAACCTCATTGACGAGCAGTGAGGCTTCTCTAAGCCAAGCCTCATGCTCTGTGGGTACTCCCCATACCCACAACTGCCCCCCAGGTGACCCTCAAGTAACATCCTACACCCAAAACTGCTCCCAAGTGACCCCCTAGTGACCCCCAGACCAAAAACAGTTCCCCAAGTGTCCCCCAAATGAAATCCCAGACCCACAAGTGCCCTCCAAGTGACCCCAAAGACCCAGAGCTGCCCTCCAGTCATCTCCCAGACCTACAACAGCCCCCAAACTGCCCCCAGAGTGACCACTCAGACCCACAACTGCCCCCCAAGTGACCCCCCAGACCCACTACTGCCCCCAAGTGACCCCCCCAGACACACAACTACCCCCAAGTGACCCCCCAGACACACACCTGCCCCCCAAGAGAGCTCGCAGACCTACCTCTGCCCCCCAAGTGTTCACCCAGTGACCCCCAGAGCCATAACTGCCCCCAAATGATCCCCTCAGCCCTAAAATTGCCTCCCGTAGTGGCCTCCCGGACCCACAACTGCCTCCCAAATGACCCCCCAGTGATTCCCCAGACCCAAACCTGCCTCCCAAGTGACCCCCAAGTGACTCCCCAGACCCACACCTGCCTCCCAAGTGACCCCCAAGTGACTCCCCAGACCTACAACGTCCCCAAAAGAGATCTCCCTGACCTACAACTGTTTCCCAGCTGACACCCCAGTCAGCCCCAGACCCACAACTGCCCCATGTGCTCCCCAAGTGATCCCCAACACCCACAGCTGCCCCTCACTGCCCCGCTCCCAT